ATGGCGTGCATTATTTGTTCAGTGAATATATTCACCATTCAAGAAATATTTATCATGGATCAAACATGATATGTTAACTGCAATATTATACATGTTTCACTGCTAGACAGAATATGAAAATAGCAATTCTGTACTTGTTACTTTGATCTTAAGGATCAGTAGGATCTCGTAATATTTTGCTTAAATGCTGACAGACAGCTTTCAATATTCATATGAGACTTCATATTTTTATCACATCACAGAGCAACCTCCGAGTTTTCTACGGCCGTGATGAACGTCTGTACTTAAAATGAGGCTCCTTTCGGAGAAGGTCTATTGAGTCTTAAGCTGATTGTAGACCTCATGTGGAACTCATTTATATGATACTTCGCAGAAGATAACCAGGACAATGGCCCTTTTCTTGTACCAATCCAGAAGGTTAACCGGCTCCTTCTGCCATACTATACCAAGGCTAATTAAGTCCAAAAATAGGTTATTGCTGCAACCTAATATAATATAGTTCTTTTAAAATACATAAATGTAATAGAATTACTTAAATTAGTTTAAAATTATTATTAAATATCAAATATAAATATGTATATTACATTTATCAGCATTTTTTAAACATTATTTAAGGAAAAGTTTTGACAATGTCGGCAAAAATTTCATTTCTTTGATTAAGTAATTTTTTTATAAACCTATTAATATATAGTTCTTCATGTATGCACAAAGGGCATAAGTCATTTAATGACCTACATATTCCAATAGCTTTTCATTTCACAGTAGGTGTTTTATTGGTTTCCAATTGCCAGAAATGTTGTTATTGGTTTCCAATTGCCAGAAATGTTGTTATTGGTTTCCAAGTGCCAGAAATATTTCAATAGGGACGTCTGATTTCCGTATATATTTATCCTAAAAGAACTTTGATGTTGGTTGAATCGCTTCTTTAACTCATGTCTTGAGCATCCAATGTAGACTTTTACGTTTTCTTGGTCCTCAGTAGACGTGATATTGCATTGGTACACTAATTATTCAGTGCGACATTTATTATTAAGAGGACAGTTATGAGAATTTCTGCAATTACATAAATCTTGTTTATCTTCATCTCCTATTACTGGTCTTGGTCTAAGTATTTAATCAAGATATTAGCATTATGTTTCATAATAATTTTTTCTAAGTTTTCAGTACAAATGTAACTTAATTTTAGCGTATTTTTATTGAAAATAGTACTGTGTTTACTATCTATAGGAAAATGTAGACTCCTCATTTTCCAGCCTTGACAGACTTCATAATTAGTTGTGAGGCTTTTTTGATAATGAATTACCTTTCACCTCACAGTCCATTTCCCATAAAGGAAAGGTTGCTAGCCTCATATTGATTTATCGCTATTACAGTGGTAAATGTTCCGGCGGTGTACATTCCACTATGCCACCAATCCAAACCTGGGTTTCAGTAAGCCGTGTATACCGAGTTTATTCATCTGCATTCGTTCATATTGGTAAATATTCCGTTTTGGCACTTCGCCGAAGGGTATTGGTTTCGCAAGCTTTTCTGAGGAGTGAGTTTGATCCTCCCTGGGTGCCTCATAATTTCGGCCTTCTGTCACATCTAAGCTACAGTTACAAAATCACCATATTCCATTGGTAAGGAAGAAGTTTCCTCCAGAGTTTATCTTCCCTGGAATTGTTACAATGTGGATTAGACAGCCGATAAGATGCTTGTCCTTATCACCAACATCCTAACCTATTAAAGTTCAGAGTCGACCTTCATATGTTCATAATAAGCACATTTGCTCCCCGCCCCTTATACGCCCTTACAGCAAACTCGTTTAGCAACAAGTCATCTTTATTATCATTTAGGCTAAATTACAGTCGTCTGTTGCTACCCTATCCAGATTTTGAAACTTTTGTTCCTGTTTGACTTTCACATTCTCGTAACGGGAATCTCAATTTTTGCCTTCTTTTTTTGATGACGTACAGATAATTTCGCTATTTCGACACAGGAAAAAAAGGCCTTTCCATGAGGACGGCCGAATGGTGAGAACGCTAGGATTCCGATGAATAACATACCCGAGATCAAATCTCACTATAGGTAATGTGACTTCTTGATAATATCAGTCTGGGCAGTCGAAGCCGGAAAATCATTGGCTGACCCAAATCTTGTGGGTGAAATAGGATACGGAAAACTCTTTGGAAGCTGCCGATGGCTGTGCTAGTCAAAGTAATCAAGGTTTTTACTCATGATGAAACTAGTGATTCTATATATATATATATATATATATATATATATATATATATATATTTGAAAAGATTCTTACGGGTACAAAATTTTATTATAGCAAGGAATAAGCGGAATGTAAAGGACATAATTATGAAAAACTAAGAACTAAAACAAACAACCGGTTTCGTCCCAGTACTCCTCAAGTTTGATACACTGGGATTATTTAATCATAAATTTAAAAACAACAAAAAAAACAAAAACCATTCAATGAGGGGGAAAGGGAAAAAAAGGGAAAAAAAATTTATATATGATAGAAAGAACTAGAGCCCAATCACATTCAAGCCCAACAAGCAATCTCTCTGCTTACCGAGAAATGGCCTGCGGGACTTGATGTAAATAGACTCAAGAACCTTCAAATGATATGCAGAGTGTGACTTCGCCAGAATGGAAAAAACAGTCAACACTCAAACCAGCAACACATTCCCTGCTAGTTATAGCGTGTTCCGCTATAGATGACCCGGATGTATTCACTAGTTGGCTTTTGTTAGCGGCCGGATTTAAAATTCTGGGGGGTAAATGTTGTTTAATTCTAAAATCCAAACGCTGAGACGTTCTGCCTATGTAGTCACATCCGCAACCACATTTAAATTTATATATAACTGAATTAATATGAAAGGGAGGCAGAAAATCCTTGCGACTGGAAGAAAGAATTGGTCGAGTAAAAAATATTACTCTCACATTAGCAGCATAAAAACACTTACTAACGGAATGTGAAATTCGCCTTGCTAGTTTTTCACCTTCTCTGCCAATGTAAGGAAGTCGTAAATAAATTGGACATTTCTTAACAACATACGGTCTATCCTTACTAAATTTATCAATGACATCATGCATGATGGAATCCAAAATGTCCAACGGATACCCATTTTTAGAAAGAGTCATTTTTATAAAATCCAATTCACTTCTGTTATTTCTGAAGATATTAGGCCCACTGGGCCAATTCGTCCCCGTTTATATGGGTTGCCGAAAATACATAAAGATGGTGTCCCATTACGGCCCATTTTATCTATGATTGGGTCGGCCCAGCATAAGGTTGCTGGTTGGCTCTCAATACTATTGCAACCTGTTTTGTTGCATTTTAGCAAATACTGTGTTAAGGATTCATTTACATTTGTGGAATCTATACACAGTGTTCCCTCTAGCGGTGGTTTCATGTGCTCTTTTGATATTGTGTCTTATTTACCTGTGTCCCTTTGTTAGAGATAGTGGAGATTTGTTGTGATATGTTATATCGCTCTTCTCTACGTCCTCCGGATTTTTCTGAGGGTATATTTAGAGAACTTATGAAGTTCGCCACTACGTCTGTAGAGTTTAGATTTGCGATATTATGTATCGTCAAATAGACGGTGTAGCAATGGGATCGCCTTTGGGTCCTACGCTTGCTAATATTTTTGTTGGTTTTCATGAGGTTTTACTGTTTTCACAAATTAATCGACCTCTGATGTATCATCGGTATGTTGATGATATTTTCTGCCTCTTTGATAGTGAGGGTGAAGCCAATACCTTTTTCTCTGTATTAAATTCTGTTCATTCGTCCTTAGAATTTACCTTAGAATCTAATTGTTGTCTTCCCCTTTTGGATGTTTTGGTCCGTAGAGATGATGATGGCTATTTGACTTCAATATTTAGGAAGGCTACCTTTCCAGGTGTATATATCCGTTGGGACTCTTTTTGTCCACGTCAACGAAAAATTAATTTAATTAGAACGTTGACTTTTCGAGCTCTTAAAATTTGCTCAAATTCCTTCCTCTACGGTGAATTGGATTTTATAAAGATGACTCTTTCTAAAAATGGGTACCGTTGGACATTTTGGATTCCATCATGCATGATGTCATTGATAAATTTAGTAAGGATAGACCGTATGTTGTTAAGAAATGTCCAATTTATTTACGACTTCCTTTACATTGGCAGAGAAGGTGAAAAACTAGCAAGGCGAATTTCACATTCCGTTAGTAAGTGTTTTTATGCTGCTAATGTGAGAGTAATATTTTTACTCGACCAATTCTTTCTTCCAGGCGCAAGGATTTTTTCTGCCTCCCTTTCATATTAATTCAGTTATATATAAATTTAAATGTGGTTGCGGATGTGACTGCATAGGCAGAACGTCTCAGCGTTTGGATTTTAGAATTAAACAACATTTACCCCCAGAATTTTAAATCCGGCCGCTAACAAAAGCCAACTAGTGAATACATCCGGGTCATCTATAGCGGAACACGCTATAACTAGCAGGGAATGTGTTGCTGGTTTGAGTGTTGACTGTTTTCCATTCTGGCGAAGTCACACTCTGCATATCATTTGAAGGTTCTTGAGTCCATTTACATTAAGTCCCGCAGGCCGTTTCTCTGTAAGCAGAGAGATTGCTTGTTGGGCTTGAATGTGATTGGGCTCTAATTCTTTCTATCATATATAAAAAAAAATTTTCCCTTTTTTCCCTTTCCCCATTCATTTTTTTTTTTTTTAAGTTTATGATTAAATAATCCCAGTGTATCAAACTTGAGGATACTGGGACGAAACCGGTTGTTTGTTTTAGTTCTTAGTTTTCATAATTATGTCCTTTACATTCCGCTTATTTCTTGCTATATATATATATATATATATATATATATATATATATATATATATGCGTGTGTATTCACTATGTCGAGAGTTTATCTCCTATAGTGCTGTATAAACTTATTTTTTTATTTATTTCTGAACTCTCATTTTTCTCAAATCATTGTTCAATCAGGTGTTTCTGCTCTTAGTCCCTTCAAGCGTATCACAATTTGTTTTATTTCTTTCCTTTTTCCATTTTTCCAGATTTAAATTTTCTTCCATTTTTATATTGAACTCTTTCTTTACTTCTTTCTTTCTTTCTTTTTTTTTCTTAAGTAATATTCTTCCTTTCATGCTTTCTCATTTACTTCTTTTTTCGAATTTAATTTTTACTTCTTTGTTTCTTTCCTTCTTTATTTCTTCCTTGAGCCCTCCAACCTGGTCTTCTGCCTCTTACCAGTCACACTTTGCTTCAGGAAGACAATCCTTTGCAGGTCCAACGAGAGTATATTAGCACTTCCCGAAGCTGCTACCACATACTCAAGGATCAATTTATATCTAAAGGTGTATCAGCTATTCTGTAGCGCCTTCGGGCAGGATGACATCATATGGCGCAGGTTTCTTTCTTTCTTTCTTTCTTTCCCATACTGACATTTCCTTTTGTTTTTAGCCGTTTTTTTCTAATGAATTTTTGCTTTAACGGTTTTTTGTTTTATTCCTTTGTTTTTCTTCGTTATTGTGATTGCTTTTTATACTTTTTTTCTTTGTTGCTTCCTATATTATTTTATTTTAACTTTTTTTTTTCATTTATTTTCTGTATTTGTTTTTCCATTCAAATTACGTTTCTCTATTTTTACATCTTTCATTTTTCTTGTATTTTTCTTTCTATCTTTCTTTTTAATATTTAATTTGAACTCAATGAATTTTTGTGTATTTTTCTTTTTATCACTTTTTTTTTTTTATTTCTGATTACAACATCTTTATATATTTCATTCTGTTTCTCACCTGTTTTTGTGAGATATTTTAATATTCACTCCTCCATCTTATTTTTTATCATCTCGGACTTGTTTTGTTTCTTTCGGAAATATCCCTAGCATTTGTCTTTCGTACTTCTTTCCTTGTATATGAAATTTTATATTAATTCATGACTGTATAGGTCTTTTTTAATCGGTAGCACCCCAAGCAAGGCAGTACAGCCGCTAACACTCTAGAGGTTACAGAGTGTGGAGGAATTAGGAACAGAAACATGTCTAATGAGGAGAAAAAGAAGGGCAATCAGGAAGACAGTAGATAGCGATTGAAATTACATTTAAACAGATTTAAGTTGGCTGGAAAGCATGGTGTCGGAAGGGTTAAAAAGTAGCTGTCTGTGCAGAAGTTACAGAAATAAAGTATTTAATTTATTCAATTATCTATTTATCATTATTTGCAATGAAAGTTTGCCGCCTACCCTGTAGCTCTTCAACCATTACGCAGGTTTTGACGTCGAAAAAGTTTTAGAAAAAGCTGATTAGATTTGTATTTGATGTAAACTAGGAAAGGTTGCTGGGTGAGGAATAACCAAAACGGATGCTCGAAATGAAATGGTAACCTTTAAAACATCAACAAAATACAATACTCGCCAGCAACGTGAGGTAGGGAAACCTCTGCTAGTGGTGGACAGCATATTACGATACTTACCTGCCTTCTCACGTGGTATGATGTGGCACAAGGTCAAATTTAATGTGGGGAATCAGAGCCTATGGGCTTGGGCAAAAATTCTCCGTAGACCCCGCATACGCGAGATCGGGTATATGTCTACCTCCCCGTATGAGACACTGCCCTTCGGCATAGACTCGTGCGGGTTCCACTCTGCTCAAAGGCAGAGAGTTCGACACGGCAAGAGCTTCCCACGCTGACAGCTCACACTGCCAGCGTAGACAGCATATTACACTCACTTGCAAGAGTGTCCAACGTATTTATGAGCTTTGGGAGAAACGTGGTCATAGGTACGGTATATAACAGTTTTCTTGTTGGAAATCTTCTACAGTTTAAGTACTCTAGTTACCATCCTCTTAGTCTTTGAACTGATTCTTGAAAAGTACTAAGAGTTCTAATCAACTCCAAATTGGTTAAGCATCTCAATTAACAAGGCGTTCTAGCACGCAAGGGATTACAAAATATGGAAGAATTCAGAGCATAAATATTAGTAATGACGAGAAAGAGAAAAGAGCAATCAGGAGAACAGTAGATAGTGATTGACATTGCATTTAAATTTTTTAAAGATTAAAGTTGTTTGGAAAAGATGGAGTCAGGAAGGAGTCCAACAAGCGAGAAGTGAGAGATAAGAAATAAAATAAATTTAATTGCAAAAAACTTACGGCTATATCTGGCGAGCTCAACTGTAAATTCATAATATCTCGGCGGCATTCTAAAATTGCGCTTAAATTCATAAAGTCTAGGTACCATAGCGAAGATTTGATCAGAACAGTTACCATGAAAATATTTATTAAAAAAGGCACCGAGAGCCAACTTTACGACAGTGTGCTAGTGACGTTAACCGAACCGCCAGATCAGGACCAATCATATTACAGATTCTTCTTTGGATCTAACCAAGGATCTCCAGTTAAATAGCAGCATCACTGGACCATATATGACGGCAATATTCTGAGCATGAACGAATGGTAGACTTATAGATATACAAGATAGATTTTAGGAGGTTTCATTTCACATTATTTGATGAGACTTACTTCTATACTCATAGCCTTGCTATATTTCAATCTTCACGTTTTCTGGTGTTCTTTCTTGTCATATCAATATTTTTCTCTCTATCTCTCTTCCTCATTCTTCTTATCTCTCTATCTCGCCCTATAACTGTCACTCACAAAATATTTGAAGGCGATCTCATATCGTTTCTTTATCGATTTTTTTCTAATCCAATACAAGTTTTATATTTGATAGTTCCTTCGTTGATTTTATTCTTTTATCGCTTTTGTTACTTATTTTCTTTCCGAATTCCTCTTTTGCAGATCCTCAAGGCCCGAGGAGAAAATATTGATCCGTATCTTTACATATCATGTAGTGAGTATTCGGGTTTAAGGGGGTGATAAATTTAAACATATAGAGATACAGACGCATTATATATATATATATATATATATATATATATATATATATATATATATATATATATACACGCACAAGGTCTCTCTATCTTTCTCTCTCTATATATATATATATATATATATATATATATATATATACACTTGCTATATAAGTACGTATCTATCTATTATATATATATATATATATATATATATACAGAGCACAAGAGAGATGTGTATATTCACAAATATATATAGATACACAGTGACAGAGACGCAGATATATATATATATATATATATATACACACACAATTACACACACACACACACATATATATATATATATACATATATTTATATCGATAGATATATGCACACAATCATATACATACACGTCGGTAAACCTGAGCATTTTAACAAGGAGACAATTTTTCAGTAATCACACAAATGATCGTGAATGAAGGCGTACAGACACACACACACACGTGCATGTGTATTTGTGTGTACGTTGGTGGATAGAAAGTTAAAATGAGGAGGTGTATGTCGGAGAGAAAAATACTTTTGTATTTTGTATTTAGAAGTGTTTATGTCAATACAATCCTCCCTCTGTGTAAGCACTTTTTCCACTATATATATATATATATATATATATATATATATATATATATATATATATATATGAAATATCCATGAATATATAAGTGTATGTATATTTACATAATTTTATTATATCTATCTATCTATATATATATATATATATATATATATACACACAGACAGACAGACACACAGATACACACACGCACCCCCCACACGCACACACACACAAACACACACATATATATATATATATATATATATATATATATATATATATATATACTTTTGCAGATTTCATATGGAGCTGTATTCCTGTTTAGGCAGTTTCTTTAGAAGTCCCTTTTCAAAGCTTACATTGCGAGCAAGCCAACCCCTGGGGTCTTTTTGACAACTGCACCTCAGATGCAGCTTGTGTAATGAATGCATCGCGTCATTGAACCGAGTGGTTATCGCATTTTGGAAGTGCTACGCGAGCAGGAGTTTAGGAATTCGTTTTCTTTACAAACAGTTTGTGTCGATTTTCAGCTGGGTAATTGGTTTCTCTGCCGATAAGATGAAGATTTCATAAAGCTTTCACCTTTAACTTCTGCTGTTTCCCTTTAACTCTCATTTCTCATTTCTGTCGCTCCTACTCTTCACACTAGAACCCAACACCTATTAGACCGGCCACAAAATGTCACTTTATTCATTTTTAAATGCTCTCAACTCTTATTGCATATGCTAAACTAGCAGCATGGCCCGGCGTTGCCCGTGCTTGATTCAAAAATCGTATGACTCATACAGCAATCGCTATCACTTGACTTAAAATATTTATGCCTTTCCTTGCCTTTAAAGGAGTGCCCTTTACTGTGCTGATGTTGGAAGTGACTAGATTGGAAAATATGATACGTGCATTGAAGGTTGAAATCATGAAATAAATAAGTATTTGTGTTATATATATGACTAGCAGCATGGCTCGGTGTTGCCCTTAAAGGAGTGCCGTGGTGATGTTGCTACATGCCTTATTTTTGCCTATCTCACACTGCGATTTTTTTTCTAAGCTCTATACTAAACATTATATCTGTTACGAAAAAAAGAACTAAACAAAATGAACACAAAACGATCAGATTTAAAAAAAGGACTCGTAACTGGGAAAACCGAATGAAAAAAGAATGTTAACAACAAATACTTTTTCACACCCAACCCAGTTCAGTGGAATCAGAATCAACGTTGAGTTTAAGCAAGTGAATGAGCCAATTGGAGTAAAGTGCCATGCAGATTTAAATTTTTCCCACTTGTGACGAATGCAGCTATCGATTTTTTTTTGCATGCTAGCATGCTAGTTAACATTCGTGTCAGTCAGCTGTTGGCACTCACGCTGGCCAGTAGAATCTTCCTTCCTAATCGTGGCAGCCAGCTATAGACTCTTACACTGGCCAGTAAAAAATGGACGCAAACTACATGAAAACTGCCGTAGAAGCATGAAAAAATCGATTATTTCCACTATCGATGGGAGTTGGGAAATGCAAGGTCGGTCTTGATCTTACTGCTAAGTTGGAGCATGTGCATGTAAATTTTGGTGAAAATCCGTAGAAAATTGCGGCCGTGCATTCGTTGCACACACACACACACACACACACACACACGTATCCTGCCTTTTACAGATAGAGATTCTTAATGACTGTATGGCGATCGCTCATCAACGTAGACTTAATTATTCTACCTAAACATGAAGACATTTTCCACCGGGAATTTTTGTAAAAACGAAACACAAGACAACCAAAGATCACACACATTTTACTTAGATAAAACCCTTTAAAAGGGTGTAAGCTGTGGTTGTGAATACAATTGTTCGTATTTCTTTAAGGTAGAGGCAACAAACGGTCATTTCTTTGAGTCTGTCGGAAGATTTTTCAATCAAATCGAGGACATAAATTATAATTGAAATTATTGATATCCTCATCTGCCATATATTTATTTCAGATGTCCACTTCAAAATCTTTGTATTTTCATATGTTATTAGAAGATATACAAAAATACATTACAAACTGCTGGGACTGCCATGTCAATAAGAAAGCACAATCTGTTCTTGTGATCTTTGATCACGATGTCTGGACGTCTATGGAATAATTCCATCAAATCTGTACGTGGGTGGTGTTCATACCAATTTCTGTAATTGTTGCAGATTTTACAGTGCAGATTTTCATGCTGATTTTTATAATTGTACCATGAAACCTGATCTGCGATGGTCAATTTTCTGTATATTTATCCCAGGGCTGCATTCCAGGTTAACACAGTTTATCATTATAATCATTATTATTATTATTATTATTGATAGTAGTAGTAGTAGTAGTAGTAGTAGTAGTGATATAAGTAATAGTAGTAATACTTTTGAATTCTGGTGTATACACATTTCCTTTCGGATGCTAACCTCAAACCTAAGGTCGGAAATGGATTCATGTCATTTTCCACTGATCCTTTTCGTAAAAGAAAACAAACAAAACAAACGAGTTTAATGATTTCTTCCCGTCTCCCAACCAAAGAACTAAAGTCAGATATGGTATAATGAAATTATCCCTACTACATTTGTGTAAAGAAAAGTCATAAAATCACATATTCTTCATAGTTAAAGCCCTTTATAGAATATGAGCTGACCTTGTGAAAGCAATTATTTGGATATTTTACGGCACGAGTTCCCAGGAAACACTTCAATGAGACAATCAGAATCGTTTCTAAAGAAATCGATGACACCAACCACAGCGATAATTATTGATGACCTTATGTGCCATATTTTTCCATTTGAAGATACTTATTATTATTATTATTATTATTATTATTATTCTCAAGCAGAGAACATCTTTCATAGCGTATTTTCACTACACATATTTCCGTAGCGATCTGATGCTAGCATTTATTTTGATATCCCCAGTGTAGGTGCCCTGAGAACTGCAACAACCCCAAGGATAATTAGCACAATTGTGGCCTGAATGTTCCACAGTCTGGGAGCTCCAAACCGGAGGTTGATGCATTTCTAAATCTTGTCTTTGAAATACATTGAGAGTACTGTCTTCAGGAAAAGGACATGTCCTACACGAGGTATTTTTTTGTTAATGACGTTGATGCCTAATTAGGTAGCTGCAATGAAATGATTTTTTAAATGTTGAATTCCACAAAATTATTTATCCTGGAAAGAATCTAAAGTATTCTTACATGGCCATTTTGCCACTGCTTATGACTTACAATATTTAACCATTGCCGACTTTGGCATTGAGCCCTCAGTTTATTCTTAGATTTTAAGCTTTTAACTCTATTTTAAACTTTAGTTATTATTTTTACTATTTGTGCACACACACACACACACACACACACACACACACACATATATATATATATATATATATATATATGAGAGAGAGAGAGAGAGAGCGTAGATCTCTACATGAAAGTAAACAAAACTTTCTACAAGACTTATGACGTTAAACATCTGGTTTTAATTTGGGTCTGGTCAGCTGAAAATTATGCAGCATATCTTAACACAGGCACACACACAAATACAGAAGCACACACACACATACGCACAAACACATACACCCACCAGGGATATTATAATGCATTTGCATTGCAGCTTTTCGTTTATATATGATATATGTACTTCTATCTATCTATCTATCTATCTATATATAACCCGGATATAAGAGAGTTGTCGGGACCGGAGAAGAAGTCTCTTATATCCGGGTTTCTCTTATATCCGGGTTTGGTCTATTTTATATACATTACCACAGGCTCTAATTTGGGAACAGAGAAAATCTCTCTTATATCCGGGTTAAACTGTATATATATATATATATATATATATATATATATATATATATATATATATCGATGAACTAAATCACGAGATATCAGCGTCTGTATATGCATGTTTTACCGTACATATACAGATGAACAAATAAGTATATATTTAATTTAAGTTGTAAACAAACGAATGCTCACTGGAGTTAAACAGAATTATAAAGTATACATTAATAAATACACATATATCTAGGTTTTTAGTACAAATCAGAGTGTCATGATTATCCAATTCATCAGGCACAAATGGTAAATGAAGTTCAAATGTAGTGTATTTAGTAATACATACATATATATATATATATATATATATATATATATATATATATCAGTATATTTC